CCAGGAGGAAGAAGACAAAGAAAAGCTCTGTTTCAAGAAGTATATGGGTATCATTATTCTAAGAATTGATGTAGATGGAAAGTATTAGGAACTTGATAAACAGTTGGCTGCATATGTGATTAACAAATCCAGTTGTTCCCCAAGGCAAGTTAGTGATGTTAGAGTGTACCCCCAACATTTGAGGTCGATATAGAGAATGGCCATCAAATTTCACCATAGCTTATTCCTATCCTAGTTGACTGCAATTGTGGGACTAACCTACAGGAGGTATTTCTGGTCCTAAGTGGTGAAGACAGACACTCTTGGTGGTAGTTCACATCAGCCTCAGCCTCCGGCTCTCTGAATTCCCTCTCCGAGTGGAAAGGCCTGCAGGCCCCACATCTGCCTTCCCAGCTACACCCACTCACTAGTGACAACTGGCTGCCAGTAGCCTCATCTCTGTAGAACAAGACAATGGGCCTGTTGTGCACTTGTTGACATACAGAATGGATTGTTTTAGCAGGTGCAGAAGATAGACTATGGGGCGATTACAGAGACCTTTATCCCTGGTGGTGTAGTGTAATCCAAATCTAAGTTGTCCTTTGTCTGGTCTTACAAGCAGGTGTTGGAACCGGATTGAGTTAAGCTCTGGTCCTTTTGCACATGTGGACAGCGTGAGTTTTGGTGTTTGGTGGTTTGGTTGTTCGACCCTCTCTAGCCTCCTCTTTCCATCGAAAAACTTATACTCTTCCATGACCAACCAGATAAGCTGTTGTGGTGTTGTTGTGTATTGTGGAGTCGGAACGGGCCCAAAGCTGAACCTCTAGTGGGTTTTCAGAGGCAGTAAATCACACAGGAGGAGTTTGCCCATCTTTCTCCTGTGGAGCAGTTAATAGATTCGAACTGCATACCTTTGCATTGACAATGCAATTCCTTTCCACTAAGCCACCAGAGCTCCCTAATCATATACAGGCCTGACTTTTTTTTTTTTTTAAAAAAAAATAAATAATAAGACTTTTCATTGGAGACTGTAGACCTAGAGCACTTTGAAGCGTGATATCCTTCTTTGGGAAAAAAGTGGACTTAATGGTGGACGGTGACTAGAAAGATGGCTGTGCGTGCTGTGGATGCAGAACTTTTTCTTCACGTGGTCATCAGGTGGAGCCTCGTGTTGCCTCTGTGTCCTCTGGGTCCCATTTAGTTCTGAATTCATCACTTGAGGAGTCAGAACGATCATTATCCTAAACTCAGCTAGGCAGATTCTTTAGTTCTCCTTTACTCTTGCTTGAGAAGAGTCTTGAATATACCATGGACTGCCAAGAGAACAAACAGGTTTATCCTGGATGGGGTGAAGCCAAGTTGCTCCTTGGAGGCAAGGATTTTGAAGCTCTGTCTCACATCCTTTGGACATGTTGCCAGGAGGGACCGGTCCTTGGAGAAGGACGTCATGTTTGGGAGGGTGGAGGGACAGCGCAGGAGAGGAAGACCCTCTTTGAGGTGGATTGACCCAGTGACTAGGACAATAGGGGTAGGTGTGTTGGAGGGACTGAGATTGGCTCAGTATAGGGCAGGGTTCAGAACATAGGGTCACTATGAGTCGCAGTCAACTTGAAGGCACATAACAACAACAAGAAGTTGACTTTTAGGAGAAGAAAGAACTAATTTTAAAAAATTAAAAAGAAAAGCTAAGACTAGGTGTTTTGTTTCAAAGTAAGTAAGTAAGCAAACAAACAAACCAGTGCCTTAATCATAATCCAGTTTCAACACCTATGATCACCTTCATAATAAAATGCTTAGCCTAATATTGCAGTTAGTTGGCATGCCTCTGTGTGTGTGTGTGCAGGGTAAGATCCCATGGGGGTTGTTCCCCATCTGTGGTGAATGGACGTCATGCCAGGGTTAACTGCTCTCAATGGCCAGCAGCTCGCTTAATCCTTTGCTGAGGAGGTAAGCCTTTTTCCTTAGCTTACTTTTTCTGCTCTCCCTCCTTGCTCATCCACTTATAGTCAGCCTCCAAGAGAAGATCTCTCTTTTGAAGGAGAAAATGTACCTCTGGAAGAGGCGAGTAGATAGGCCAGTGATAACTCTCATCACACATGCCTATTTACTTGGTTTGAAATTCAGTTCAAATCAACAAGTGTGCACCACCTTCTTTGTCCCCATTCTTGTGCTGGGCTCTGGGAGATGCATTTTCCTAACACTTAGTGGGTGTCAAGTTCAGTTCTAGCCACTTGATATTAACAGCAATGATCACCCCATGGGAGTACTATTATTACTTGCATTTTACAGATAAGGAGACCAAAGGCCACACAGTAGGAACTTGTATATTCTGAATTTGAACCCAGGAGCTCCTATGTTATAAAGGTTCTGTCTCTTATGAAGCTTACAGTCCAGTTGAAGATGATGAGCTCAATGCAATGAGAAACAGCTAGGAAATAGCTAAGTCTTGGGCTCTTGCTCTTATCAAATATTCTAGAGATCCTAGACACTCTTCGATCTATTAAATAGGTAAGCAAGATGCTATCTTGGACTTATGGTGAGATGTACACGAGCTGACCCACATAAAGAGCTGAGTGCAGTGCCTGGCATGTGGTGAGTGGTCAGTAAATTGTGGTTGCCATGATCATGACAAGACTGATATCACCAGGACCTGAAGGAGGAAGAGAATGAGGATATACAGAGAGGAAGAAGAATGACCTTCCAGGTGTATTGGGAAAGGATGGGACTTGAGAAGAAATAGTAAGGAGATAAGATTTTCTTTTTCCATTGGTTGCAGTCCGTAATTACCTACCATTGTTGTTGTTGTTGTTTTCTGTCAAAACAGTACAGCCAAATGATACCACCACCCTATCGGTCCTGTACCATTCCCATGGTGGGTTGCAGGTCAGACTGTTGCGATCCATAGGGGTTTTTTTGGCTGTTTTTTGGAAGCGGATTGCCAGGCTTTTCTTCCTAGTCTTAGTCTGAATTTTCTAACTGATACCAATATCAAAGCAACATGCCACTCTCCACTGACAGGTGGTGCAGCCGTGAGGTGCTGTGGCCAGGAATTGAACCCAGGTCTCCTGTGTGAAATGCAATATTTCCATCCTAAACCACCAATGCTTCTTAGCCATCTACTAGCCAAAACCAGACCAAACCAAACCAAACCAAACCAAACCACCTGGTTGCTGTCAAGTTGATTTTGATTCATAGCATCCTGTAGGACAGAGTGGAGCTGCCCCATAGGGTTTCTTTTATGCAAACAGATACCACATCTTTTTTCTGAGAAGTAGCTGGTGGGTTCCAACTGCCAACCTTTCCGGTCAGCAGCTGAGCACCTAACCACTGTGCCACCAGGACTTCTAGTCACCTACTAACTGAGCAAATTTAAAGGACAGAAGTATTTCTAAGTCAGTCCGTAGCTCTTAAGCTTTTAATGGACCTGATGAGGTACAGGTGACCATGCTTCCTGACTGACCTCATCTTTTCTTCCTCCTCATTGAGCCCAATGCGAGATTATGTTGTTTTGTGCCGTTGAGTTGGAACTGACCCATAGCAGACCCTCTAGAGGGTTTTCAGAAGCAGTCATTTGGACAAGAGGGGATACCCCATCTTTCTCCCGCAAAGCAGCTAGTGGATTCAAACCCTGTGCCTTAGGGTTAGCAGCGTTTCTTACTACTGAGCTACCAGAGCTCCCTTAAAGCTAGACGAAGCATATGAACAGTCTTAGACACTCTCAGAGTCATTCCAAGCTGCACTGCTTACAAATTCAGCTGTTGGCAAATCCGAATCTTTCTGGAGACAGAGATGAGTGGCTCCCACTAGGCTGCTGGGAAAGACTGGACTTGAACCAGGGAGAGTCCTCAGCGTAAATGGCATCAATTGATCAAGTATTTGTTGAGCTCCTACTACCTGCAGAACCATATGCTACGATGATGATTCAAGGGAAGGAAAAGCGTGATGTACCCCTCCCCGGTGAGGCACTGCTGACTTTCTCACAGACACCAGATGGATGTTCTTGTGACAAATAGAGATCAGTTTGGGCGCTAAAGCCAGCCTACTACCAGTGAGTGGATGTTGACCTTGAAGGGTTTCCAAGGCTGTCAATCTAAGAGGAGGCTGCCTCGTCCTGCTCCCACAAAGTGGCTGGTGGATTCAAACCACCAACCTCTTGGCTAGCAGCCAAGTAAACTACCCTATGCCAGCAGGGTTTCTTCAATGTAGGGTTGCTGTTGTTGTTGTAATAGGTGCTGTTGAGTCAGCTCGGATTCGTAGAAACCCTGTGCACAACGGAATGAGACCCCACCTGATCTTGCCATCCTCACAATCTCTGCTGTGCACAGGCCCATAATATTCAGGGTGTCGCTCTCTCCGGTTGAGGGTCTTCCTCTCTTTTTGCTGACCCTCTGCTTCTCCCAGCATGATGTCCTTCTCCAGAGACTAGCCCGTCCTGAGAACATGTCTAAAGTATCTGAGACAAAGCCTCACTGTCTTTGTTTCTCAAGAGCACTTTGGCTGCACTTCTGCTGAGATAGATTTGTGTGTTCTTTTGACAGTCTGTGGGATCTTCAGTACTGTCTACCAACACCGCAATTCAAAAGCATTAATTCTTAGATCTTCCTCAGTCATTGTCCAAACTTTCACATGCATATGATGAGACAGTTGAAAGTATTACATCTTGGGTCAGGCACACCTTAGTCTTTAAGCTGACATCCTTGCTCTTTAGCACTTTAAAGAAGTTCTTGGCAGGAGATTTGACCAATACGGTGTGTCCTTTGAGTCCTTCCTTCCTTCCTTAATGTCTTTCTTTCTTTCTAAAATTTCTTTCTTTTCTAAAATGGTAAAGATAGATTTATTAGAAAGTTACGTTCCTAAAGCAACGGACCTCCCTCCCTCAAAAGAAATACACAGGAAGGCCTATCCTTTGATTACTTGGCAGCTGATTCCATGAGTGTTGATTGTGGATCCATGTCAGATGACATCGACAGCTTCAGAGTAGGGTTAAGTACGATGAAATGCTAACTCTGGGCTTTCTTTAGGTGCCGCTACCTAGCTGTTCAGCTGTCTCCGGCCATCCCGGTGTTTGCTGCTCTGCTCTTCCTTTTCTCCATGGCTACACTGCTAAGGACCAGCTTCAGTGACCCTGGCGTGATTCCGCGAGCCCTGCCAGATGAAGCAGCTTTCATAGAGATGGAGATAGGTGAGTTTCCCAGGCAGCTGGCAAGCCACTGGGTGGGGGGGTGGCCTTCTTTCCTCTTGAGGAAAGAGATTCATCAGAGTCGTTCAGAGTGGCAATCACTCTAGGCTCTCTGAGAGTCTGTATCACAGATGATAATTGTGCTGTGAACTAGGGACGGGAGGTGTAGCAAGAACAAAAGTCATCTGCTTCGTTCTTCTCTGGTAAGTTGCATTTCAGGAGGGATTTTTTAATTAAGATCCTGCTGCACTGTTTTGAAGAGGATGATTGTTTTTTTCTTCATTTTTAATTTTTTTCTAGGAGTGACAAACTAATAGAGACAGGGAGCTCTGGTGACCTAGTGGTAAGAAGCTGTGCTCCAATCCTGAAGGCTCACAGTTCAAATCCACCAGCTGCTCTACAGGAGAAGGATGGGCAGTCTCCTCCTGTGCGATTAGCTGCCTCTGACACCCACTGGAGGGTTAGCTATATATGGGTCAGTTCTGACATGATGGTACTCAACAACAACAACTAATAGGGACAGGGTTCAGACCTGTTGTTCGCAGGGTCACTGTGAGTTGTACTCTACTCGCCAGCACCTCACAACAATTAATTTTTTATTTTGAGGAAAGCTATAAACAATTTTCTCTGAATAATGTTCCTATACCATTGAATGAATGGAAATCCAAAGTCTCTGAAAACTTTCATGAAAATCAACTTTAAAATAATACTCATTATGGGACAGGATAGCTAAACATGTTAGTATACAGAAGTTTTGTTAACATACTGTAATATGCAGTTATACCTGTAGATAGTTCTATCTATAGTTAGTTAAACAGGTGTTAGCCCACCAGGGCTCCTTAGAAAGTATATAAATAGTTAAAAAAAGAAAAAGGGACAAAATGTTTATGTACATGTTGTTGTTGTTGTTATGTGCCGTCGAGTCGCTTGTGACTCATAGCGACCCTATGTACAATAGCTCTAAACTCTGCTCTGTCCTGTGCCAATCGCACTGTCTCTGACACTCCCATCCCGATTATCCCAGTCACTGAATCAATCCACCTCATAGAGGGCCTTCCCCTCCTGCGCTGTCCCTCCACCCTCCCAAGCATGATGTTCCTCTCCAAAGACCGGTCTCTCCTTACAACATGACCAAAGTATGTCAGAATCTTTGCCTCCAAGGAGCAGCCCGGTTTAACCCTTTCCAGGACAAATCTGTTTGTTTTCCTAGCAGTCCATGGTATTCTCAATACTCTTCTCCAACACCAAAGCACAAAAGCATCAATTCTCCTTCTATCCTCCTTGGTCATTGTCCAGCTCCCTGATGCATAACAAGTGATTGCAAAGATCATGGCCTGTACCAAACGCACCTTTGTCTCCAGAGACACACCGTTGCTCTTCAGTACTTTGGAGAGGTCCCTAACAGTAGACTTTCCCATGGCAATGCGCCTTTTAATTTCCTGGCTACTGGTGCCAAGACTGTTGACTACGGAGCCAAGCAAACTAAAGCTGTGTACAATCTCAATCTCTTCACCATCCATCCTGATGCTGCCAATTGGTCCAGTGGTGAGAATATACATATACATATACACATATACATAATTTGGGGTGTAATTTCAGGGATCCATAGTTCTTCTGAAGCCCGTTCATGGTTTACCCCAGCCAAGAGTTCCTGCTTTAGGAGAGCATGCACAAGAAGGGGGGGGAGCAGTTAGTGTGCCAAGAATCCTGAGAATTCCAGGAGGGATAAACATAAAAGTCAGAGTCACTTCTGCTCGGTGGTCTCTGACTGCTAGCAACCCTCCATCACCATCTGAGACCGTAAACCTTCACAGGAGGCGGCTGCTCGGCTTTCTCCCTGACAGGAATTGGTAGATTGGAACCACTGACTTTTGCATTAGCAGTGCATCCTGATAAAGGAAGCAGGTATCGGATCAGTATAAGGCAGTTTCCAGTGCAGGTTAGGGATCTTTGGGGCAGGAGTAAGGCATTGCACTCCTCAGGCGCTGGGTGTCACCAAGAGTTGAAGCAGAACATTCCAGGGCTCAGAACCCCCTCAGAACCCAAACAGACTGTCATTGAGTCAGAACCAACTCACATGTGGCCCACCTTTGGGTTTCTGAGGCTGTAAATTGCATGGGAGGATGTTGCCCATCTTTCTCCCTCCAATTTAAGCCACCAGAGAGGTGCAGCCTTTCTGAGTTAGCATCTTAACTCTCTGTGGACATCCTACTGGAGTTCCCTGTCCCAGGGCTCTGGAAGGGGCTATCCTGGGAGCTGACGCTGAGAAAGAGGTTTGTGATGTCAGTACTAAGAGGACCAGAGAGCCCACCACATTCAAAAGCAGAGTCTGCCTAAATTATTTTCAAGGTACGTACCCACGTAACTTGCCCCAGCATCTAAGCCAGGTGAAAGGGGGCCTTAAGAGATTCAGTTATGCCCAGGAGTCAATCTAGCTAGCCGTTAGTTCTCTGTAGGTAGTTTTAAAGACACTTCTACTTTTGCTTTTCTTTTGTTTATTTTAGCTGTCCTTCCCCCTTTGGATCTCAGCCAGGGATTCAATTGGGAGTCAGGGGAGGGCAGGGTGAATAGGTAGAGCACAGGGTATTTTTAGGGTAATCAGATTGTATGGTGTTGTAATGGTGGATACATGGTATTAAACGTTTGTCAAAAATGCTTGGGACTGCACATCACAGAGTGGAGCCCTAATGTTGTTGCCGTGTACTGTAGAGTAGGGACCAAACCCCAGCTGACCTTGCAGTCAGTTTTCAGAGGCAGTAAACCACACGGGAGGAAATTGCCCATCTTTCTCCCAGTGAGCAGCTAGTGGATTTGAACTGTGTGCCTGCGTATGCAGTCCGTGTAAACTATGGACCTTGTGAATAATAAGGCATCACTACAGATGGCACAGGAAAGCACAGAGTTCAGATCTGTTGTTCATAGGGTCTCTAATAAAGATGACAGAAAAAGAATTGACGCCTTTGAGCTGTGGTGTTGCAGAAGAGTGCTGGACATCCTAGGTACGGCCAAGAAAACCAACAGATATGTCTTGGAGAGGGTGCAGCCGGAGTGCTCTTTGGAGGCAAGAATGATGAGACTTTGTAACACATCCTTTGGGCATGTTTCTAGAAGGTGCTATTCCTTGGAGAGGGACATGATGTTGGGAGAGGAAGACCCTCAACCAAGTGGATTGACGGGGTGACTGCTGCAATGGGCTCTTGTGTGTCAGGAAGCGTAAGGATGGCGCAGGACAGGTCTGGGTTCAGATCTTTTGTTCATAGGGTCACTATGAGTCAGACTCGACTCGACGGCACCTCACAACAACAACAACAACAATTATGGGTCATACTCGACTCGCCGGCACATAGCAACAATGTGGATGGGTTCACCAGCTGGAATAAGAGTTCTGCAGGATCACGATGTGCAGGTGGCAGGGGATACACTGGAACTCTGCGCACTTTCTGTGGTTTTTCTGCAAACCCAGAAGCAACCACTCTGTTGTTGTTGTTGTTGTGTGCCGACGAGTCGCTTGCGACTCATAGTGACCCTATGTACAACATCCCTCAACTCTGCTCTGTCCTGTGCCATTTGCACCATCTCCGAAACACCCATCCCGATTGCCCCAGTCACTGAATCAATCCACCTCATAAGGGGCCTTTTCTTCTGCGCTGTCGCTCCACCCGACCAAGCATGATGTCCTTCTCCAAGGACCTGTCCCTCCTTGCAACATGTCCAAAGTATGTTAGACGGAGCCTTAGAATCTTTGCCTCTAAGGAGCAGCCTGGTTTGACCCTTTCCAGGATGAATCTGTTTGTTTTCCTAGCAGTCCATGGTATTCTCAATACTCTTCTCCAGCACCACAGTTCAAAGGCATCAATTCTCCTTCTATCCTCCTTAGTCATTGTCCAACTCTCTGATGCATAACAAGTGATTGCGAAGACCATGGCCTGTATCACACGCACCTTAGTCTCCAGAGAGACACCATTGCTCTTCAATACTTTGGAGAGGTCCCTAACAGCAGACTTTCCCATGGCAATACATCTTCCAATTTCCTGGCTGTTGGTGCCGAGAGTGTTGACTGTGGAGCCAAGGAAACTGAAGCTGTGAACAATCTCAATTCCTTCACCATCCATCCTGATGCTGCCAATTGGCCCAGTGGTGAGAATCTTTGTCTTCTTGACATTGAGCCTCAATCCATATTGGAGGCTGCTGTCCTTGACCCTCTGCAGCAAGCGCTTCAGGTCCTCCTCAGTTTCAGCAAGCAGGGTTATATCATCTGCATATCACAGATTGTTGATAGATCTTCCACCAATCTTGACCCCACATTTCTCCTCATAGAGCCCAACCTCCCGGATAATCTGTTCTGCATACAGGTTGAAAAGGTATGGAGACAGGACACAGCCCTGACGTACGCCCTTCCTAATTTTGAACCATGCAGTGTTTCCTTGCTCTGTTCTGACGACTGCCTCCTGATCCAAGTATAGGTTTCTCATTAGCATGATCAAGTGTTCTGGTATTCCCATTCTTCTCAGAGTCAGCCACAGTTTGTTATGATCCACACAGTCAAATGCCTTTGCATAGTCAATGACAGATAGACATTCCTCTGGTATTCCCTGCTTTCAGCCAAGATCCATCTAACATCAGCTACAATATCCCTAGTACCATGACCCCTTCTAAGCCCAGCCTGGACTTCTGGCAGTTCTCTGCTGATATGCTGTTCCAGTCGTTTTTGGATAATCTTCAGTAGAATCTTGCTTGCATGTGAAATTAATGAGAGTGTTCTATAGTTTCCACACTCTGTTGGATCACCCTTCTTTGGGATGGGAACAAACAACAAACATAGATCTCTTCCAGTCAGATGGCCAGGTGGTTGTTCTCCAGATATCTTGGCAAAACTTGGTGAGCATGTCCGGGGCAGCATCTGTTAGCTGAAATATGTCAAAACCTGAAAAAAACAAAAACAAAAACAACCCATCCCAATCCTCAAGGTCATGGTCAGGTCAGAAATGACTCATAGTTGACCCTCCAGTGGGTTTCCAGAGGTGGTAAATTGCATGAGAGCTGGTTGCCCATCTTTATCCAGTGGAGCAGCTGGTGGATTTGAACCACCTGCCTTTGCGTTTGGCAGTGCAGCTCTTTACCACCCAGGTTCCCGCTAAAACATCAAGTCTAACAACAACAACAAAATTAAAGAAGTGAAATTAAAAAATTCCAACTTGGTCTAGTTGAGCGAAGGGAGATTGGCTTTTTTGCTCATCGGAGCTAGAACTCCTTAGTGTTGAGGCGGGGACCAAGGAGAAGAAGGCAGAGGCTGAGTTGTGTTGGCGCAGCTGGAGGGCTGGGGAGACTGGGGAGTTGTGATTGCTGCTTTTTCTCCATGGAGGTTATTCTTTTACAGCCCTTTTGCCATTTACCTATGGCAAAACTGAGGGTCAAGTTTATGGCTCGAGGCATTTGTTACATCTTTCAGTAGGTTATTATCAAGGTTAGTTCTTTATGCCAGATCACTGAGCTGGAGCCCTAGACTCTCGCACTTCTGCTGTGATCTAGGCTTTTACATGTTGTGCATTTTCTTTTTTTAAAAGTTCATACCTGTGTTTATGTTAGCGAGTTTTTATCTACTGGCATTCAATCCGTACGGGGTACTGTTGAGGGGGGTCAGGAGGTGGGGAAAGAAGGCACGTGATTCCTTTGTCTCATAGCTCTCAGGGGCAGAGTAACCAGGAACTCTCTTTGCTAGATGCCCTTATTTAAAGCAGATGCAAAGGACTATTAAGGTGGTAGGTTTGTACTTCCATCATCCTCTCACAAAGAGCTATCTCCATCCTTTTCAGATGTGCAACACACTGTTATTGTTTGATTTCACAGCATCTACCGCATTCCCCCCAAAAAAGGAAAAATGTTCCATATGGCAGTTATTTTTAATATCAAAGTGAATCGAAAACGATTCCATTTTTAGAAGTAGGCTGCACAGTGGTAGTGCTGAGAGGTGGGCATGCTTATCTTCTGCTGATGGGCGTGCCTGCAAATTGCTACAATCTATTTAGGAAGCCCTTTGGCAACCAGTAATTTGAGCTCTAAGGGCTCCTATCTTTTGACCCAATAGTTCTGGTTTTTTAAGGGCTTGTTGTTTGGTGTTGTTGTGTGCCATGGAGTTGTAGCCATAGCTGACCCCCGCCCCCGTCAGGTTTTCACAGGCAATTTAATGGCATGAGAGGAGATCACCTGTCTTTCTCCCATGGAGCTGCTGGTGGATTTGAACTTCGTGCCTTCAGGATTGCAGTTTAGTTTCTTACCACTAGACCTCCAGAGCTGCCTTTAGGGCTTGTTGTTAGATGCTATCAAGTCGAGTTCGTCTCATAGTGACCCTGTGAACGACAGATCTCAACCCCTTCCTGCCACATTTGAGCCCGTTGCGGCAGTCAGTGTGTCAGTCCACTGAGTTGAAGGTCTTCCTCTCCTTTGCTGACCTTCCACCCGTCCCAGCATCATGTCCTTTTCCAAGGAATAGCCCCTCCGAGGAACATGCCCAAATTATGTGAGGCAGAGCCTCATCATCTTTGCCTCCAAAGAGCACTCCAGCTGTACCCTCTCCAAGACAAACAACCCACCCAAATCCTCATGGTCAGTGTCAAATCAGAAATGATTCATAGTTGACTTATTTGTTCTCTTGGCTGTCCATGGGATGTTCAGCGCTCTTCTCCAGCACCACAGCTCAAAGGCATCAGTTCTTCTTCTGTCATCCTTATTCATTGTGCAGCTCTCAGATGCATAACAAATGATCAGAAAGCCTGAAGCAGATGCACCTTAATCCTCAAACTGATACCATTACTTCTCAATAATTAGGAATGGTCCCTAACTGTACATTTTCCCAGTGCAATGTGTCTCCTGATTTCCTGACTACTGGCACTGAGTGTTAATTGTGGATCCAAGTAGATGAAGTTGTCAACTGTTTCAGTCTCTTCTCCATCCATCATGATATTGCCCTTTAGGGCTTAGATTAAAGGAAATAATCCAAGAGTTACACAATTTATTATACAAGTCTTTTATCTCATCTTTCCCATTTATTTTTAATATGAGCAGAGATATTTTGATGCCAGCAACTTCTTATATTACTACTAAACTCCCAACATGCTCTTCTTCCTATCTTTTCTGTTTTAGAAATTAATTTAAGAGATGATTATATCTTTGAAGAAGGGAAGTGGGTACTGGTTCTGTGATCAAAGGGAATTTTAAGCTTATCTGTAATGCTTTTTCACATGCACTATTATTTAAAAACAGTAAAAAGTCAGAGGCAATTTAAATGGTCATCAATATAATGAGTAAATCACAGGAGTATTAATTAGATCACCAGTAAGAATGTTTTGGGGAAAATTAATAATCATGAGAAATGTTCATAGTGTAATGTTTAGTGAAAAAAAAATACAAGGTACAAGACTGTAATATGATCTCAGGTTTTTAAAAATCATAAATGTTTACCTGTTTAATAAAGTTTAGAAGGAAATACATCAAAATATGTGACTATCTGTGAGTTACTATCAGTGATATTTTAATTTTTTTTTACATTTTGTGTTTCCCCCAAATCATCAATAATAAGCATATATTATACTGCTTTTTGTAGATTACTTTGATTTTTAAGGATTTTTTCCTAACATTTTTAAAAAATGTTTTTATTGATTTGCATAGAATCATTTATATGCATCATGCTTTGTAAATGTGCTTTGTGTTTTATACAATCATTCATGTACATTGTATTTTATATAATTAATTATAAAAAACTTTTATTAAAACAACTCTAAGAATTTTTATAATCCCTAACTAGAAGGATGCCTCAGACTGGAACCATCCTTTATGGAAGTTGAGGAACCATGGTTTTAATAGGCACATGTCTTTTTCTTCTATACATAATATATTACTTTTTGGCAATTTGTTGTTGTTGTTGTGTACTGTAGAGTCAGAAATGACCCATAGCTCACCTTCCGGTGGGTTTTCAGAGGCAGTTAATTGCATGGGAAGAGATCATCCTTTTCCTGTAGAGCAGCTGGTGGCCTCGAACTGCATGCACGTTTGGGATTGCAGCACAACTCTTTGCCGCTGGGCCACCAGAGCTCCCTTTTGCAAATTGTTCAATTTATATACACTTGTTTGTAACCTGCATTTTATTTTTTGCAATATACAGTGATTGTTTACCTATGTCACAATTTGTGTAAGTAATATTAAATGGCTGCAAAATATTCCATTTGTGTATCATAATTTACTTTACCTCCTATTAATGAATTGAACATTAACTAGCATTGAGATTATGTTCCTTTTTAAAATTTATTTTTGTGACAAATAACACTGTAGAGCCATCTTTTATACATCTCTCTGTGATTTTAAAGTTTCTGGGAAATTCAAGGAGCATACACATTTTTCAGTAGCCACGGCCACATTAATTAAGGTAATGTATAACAAAGACCTTTCCCTTAAACCCTGGACAACACTGAGTATTGTTATCCATTCATATATTTGTTGGTATAGTGGGTGAATATGGTATCTTTATGTTTTAATATGTTTATATTTGATTATTAGTGATGTTGGACATTTTAATTACATATGTATTTTAGCCATTTTAATTTCTTGCTTTATGAGTGTTTCTCTTTATAATCAGACCCCTAAAACTCCACAAAACCCTTGAAGGACCACTTTCTTACATGTCAACAAAAGAACTGCATCACACTCAGTGGAATTTTGGGGGACACACTGATGTGGAATGCCTGGTCTGGAAAATGCTAGTCTGAAGAAGACGGTGCATTCAGGAAACCTTTGACTGCCCCCATTCCTTTTGGAGAAGTGTTAAGGCTCAAAAATGACCAGCTGTGATGTTAATTGTTTTTAACAATTTACAGAAGCCACCAATGGTGCGGTACCCCAGGGCCAGCGCCCACCACCTCGTATCAAGAATTTCCAGATAAACAACCAGATTGTGAAACTGAAATACTGTTACACATGCAAGATCTTCCGGCCTCCTCGGGCCTCCCATTGCAGCATCTGCGATAACTGTGTGGGTGAGTCAGACCAAGGGGGCTTTGTCTGGGGAAAGACTGAGCAGAAGGCAAAAGAGAGCCAAAGGGTCACTGATTCCTGAGATAAACCAATAGGAGAAGACAGATTAGGACTCACTTTCTGTAAGAAACAATTTCCATGGTGCAACTACTGTGGAAAGCGATGTGGCGCTTTCTCAAAAAGTTGCAAATAGAGATACCATTTGACCCAGCAATTCCACTCCTGGGAATATACCCCAAAGAGACCATAACTGCCACCCAGGCAGATACATGCACACCCATGTTTATTGCTGCTTTGTTCATAATAGCAAAGGGTTGTGTAGAGAAGCTGTGGAATACTATGCAGGATTGAAAAACAGGGAACTCATGAAATATACAACATGGGTGACCCTGGAGGACATTATGCTGAGTGAAATATCTCAGTCACAAAAGGATAAATACTGCATAGTGCCACTGTTGTAAAATGGTACTGACATCGGGGTTGGGGGGAACCTAAGAAAAGAGGGGATAAATAATGTATACTGCATTGAAACAGATGAGGGAGAGAACTGTTTAAAAGGAATACAGGATTAGGTATTCTTTTCATGACAAGAGTCTAGAAAAAGAAATGCATAGTAAAGTGGACTGCGGATTTGGGGGGGAGGATTGTATAACAGAGAAAAATGAAATGGGGGAGGGGTGGGCAGGGAGGAAAATGTGCAACAATGAATGAATGGGGAAAGATTAAATGGAAAGAATATGCTGTAAAATATATATATGTTACATTAAAAAAATCATTAATAAGAAAAAAAGAAACAATTTCCAAAACAATGGCAGATCAGCTGTACTTGTGTAGGCCAAATCATGAGTTGGAGGTGACTCAATCGCACATAATAACAATAGACCAAATAATAATTGAAACATCTTCTAGTCTAAAATGAGAGTGCTCTGGTGGCGGAGCGGTTGAGCACTTGACTGTGGACCAGCTGCTCTGAGGGAGATAGAGGTGGCAGTCTGCTTCTGTGAAGATTTTCAACCTTAGAACCAAACCCCTTGCATCGTTATACCTGGCTATTCAGGGTTACTGTGAAGCAAAATCAACTTGACGTCAGTGCGTTTGGTTTTGGAGTCTAAAAAGAAATGACTGGCAAATGGGAAAAGAAATCTCTTTAATTGGTCTTATTTACAAATCCAGATTTTCTTCTACTGAATTGTTTCAAGCCTGGCTCCTCCAGCTTGTGTAGGGGAAATAGAACCGGGTCCACTGGAGGGCAGCATCAGGGAAGGAAGTAGTTTCTCTGCTAGAACAAAGGTTACCAAGTGTAGACTACATAGTAGGGCACTGGACTCTGTTTCACTTTCTCTTATTGGAGATCCGTAACTAATCCTATGAGATGGGTATTATCCCCATTATATGGATGAGGATGTTAGTGAAGCAACTTCGTGTGAATACATGTCCTTAGAGTAAGAAGGAGCTGGTCCAGGTCTGATTTTAAAAACTTGTTCTAGCTCTGCTACAGCTGTAAGGACGGAGGTGCCTGTGTTCCTTGCTTCCATCTGGATATGTATGACTTGGTTGTATTCACTGCCCACTATATGTGGCACCCTGGGAAAGATCAAACATGCCTATCAAATCCCAGTGTCACAGTAATTCTCTTGTCAGGTCTTTATGGTAGGGGACTGCCCATCTTTCTCTTGTGGAATGGCTGGTAGATTTGAACTGGTACCCTTTCATTTAGCAGCTTGGTATGTTACTCACTATGCTCGAGGAACTCCTATGACATGCCTGTTCTCACCTCATTGCTTTTGAGTTATAGTTGACCTTCAGTGGGTTTTCAGAGGCTGTAAATCACGTGGGAGGAGAAGGCATATATATTAAATTCCTTTCTCTATCATAGATGCCATAAAACGTGTCTAAACACATTACTTTTTTCATTCTACCCAAATCTATACTCCCAAGTTGGGGAACTCTAGTTTGCTTCATATGGTAAGAAACTATGTGTAGATAAGGTTTTTATAAATTGAACCTATTTAAAATGCACAGGAACCCTGATATTTAAAGAAGCCCTCATATGAAGGTTTTCATAAAGAATTTCTTTGCCTTCATAATATTCTCGCATGTAAAGAATTATTCACACAAATGAGCTTTTCGGAAAGCATTACCATTCCACTCATAATGACAGTTCCTAAAACAAGAAGACTAGTTGACTAGTTAACTGGAGGGGGGGTAATAGTCACCCTTGCTAATAACCAAAGAAATAAAAAGGAAAACAGGATTCCTTCTTTTGCAATAAAAGTTATTTTTTAGAGCAGTTTTCAGTTTGTGGATAAATTGTGCAGAAGGTACAGAAAGCTCCACTGAGTCCCCTCCCTCCTGCACATTCTTTTCCCTGTTGTTGTGAGAGGTGCTGTGAAACGTTTTCAAGTCATAGCAACTCCGGGTGACAAAGTCAAACTGCTCTGTAGGGTTTGCTAGGCGAGTTTTATGGAAGCAGATTTTTCATCCTTGGAGCCATGGTGAGTTTGACCCGCCAACGTTTCAGTTATCAGTGCCCTCTTAACCATTTGCTCCACCAGGACACCAATTTCTTGTATTAACTGTGTCGTTTCCCTTACAAGATTCAGCATGAAGCTGGTTCCTGTGAGGCAGAGAGAAATGTTGTCCGTCTTCTTTAAACTACTGTTCCATTCCATCGTCTCTAATACTGACTCCTATCACCTCCTTCCCTGCCCCACCTCCACCCCTCCCCAAGTACTCTCCCACCAATCTTGGGGTTTGGTAACTTGCTTCAGGGCCTCAGAGAACTCAAGAACCGTATTTAAAACGTGAGGCTTATTAGAGAGGTAACAGATTACAACTCAAGATCAAGATCAACTTGGTTGGTTCGTCCATCAGGATGGCTTCTTCTTGGCTGCTGCACCAGGCCCTGCTCCCAGCCTTTCTGCCTCCAGACCTTAGTTGGACGAGTGGTACAACTCCTAGCTCAGTGGCTTCACAGCAGTGGGCTATGCTGGGCTTGTTCCTGCTATCTTACATGGTCTGTCCTGCTGCTGTGTCTTCCAGTGCCTCTTCGCGCCGCTCTCTCTCTCTCTCTCAAACCTTTGTCAGAGAAGGTGCAAGTTCCTTATCAGTTTCCTTTTCAAGGCATACCCCTCTCCCCCACAAACTATTCAATCAAGACCATGAACTAACCAATCCCCTGCAAGGATTCCACGTACCTTAGATGAGTTTGCAGACTGTCAAATCCCAGCGTGGGTTCCATGCACCTTATTTGCATACTCCCAGTCAGTTTAATGAAAGTGACTTTGGCTAGAAGGGCCATATAAAAGCAGTTTATTGCACTACACCTATTAAGAACTTATATTTTTTGATATGTTTGGTACAACTGAACATATATTGATATGTTCTCATTAAATTGCATTCTCATTAATTTATTCTCAAATTCCCATTAGGATTGTGTAGTGGTATGTGATTACCATTATAAGTAATGTCACGCAGAATAATTCTGGGACCCTGACAATTCCCACCTTTTCATCCTTTGCTCCTACTCTTGACACTTTACAACCACTCATCTTTTCACTCTCTAATAATTTTGCCTTTTCCACAATGTCATATAGGAGGAATCATGCAGGATGTAACTCTTTCAGACTGATGTCTCTCAATTCGCAGTACACCTTTAAGGTTCCTCCATACCTTTTCGTGGATTGAGAGCTCGGTTTTTTAAATTGCTGTATAATGATGCTCCATTGTGCACTGTTGTGTCGTATAGTTAGTTTAACCATTTATCTGTTAGACAGATTGACTTTCTTAACTTAGAGAATTAACAAAGAAAACCTGCTAATGCCTGGTCCTGTGCTGTTAGGAGAGCTCTGGTGGTGTAGGAAGTTGCCCTGCTAACCTGAAGCCAGTGCCTCTCTGGCGGTTCAAATCCACCAGTGGCTCTGTGACAGGCAATCTACTCCTGTGTGATTTACAGCTTCCTGAAACCTACTGGGAAGTCAACTATGAGTTGATTCTGACTTGATGGCAATGAGTTTTGAGTTTTTCTTTTAATATACTACTAAGATTGTAGATTAAAACATGATTTTAAAAAATTTTTATTTTTATCTTGTATTGGTTTGCTTGCAAAGTTTGTATATATTGTGTTTCACACTATTATTGTGTTTCATACAATCATTCCCAGGCATTATGTTTTATAAAATTAATCACAGATAATGGGAAATAACATGATTTTGGGAAAGCAGCTTAATTAATAAGATTCGTCAGTAGCCATAAAACATCATGTATATCCTTTAATGCTAGTGATTTCCTTTCCAGGGATCTATCCCAAGGAAATAATCTAGATGTAAAATATTTATAAAAGGAATAATTTACCTAAGGGTTATTATAAGAGTGAAATATTAAAGAGAGCCAGATAGTCCAGGAATAAATGAATAATCAAATAAATGTCGAGATGTTAATGTAATCAAATTTCATGGGGAAAGCTCGTACCAGAAAGCTGAATGAAATTGGGTAAGAGAGGGGCTACATTTTCAATGTAATCTCAGTTGCATATAAAGGAAATCCACCAAAATGCTTATAGCTATCTATAGGTTGTGGGATTACAAGTTAGGGTGTTTCCTTTTCCTTTTTGTGTCTTTTGAATTTACTATGATGAGCATGCATTGCTTAAAAAGTATAAGGAAAAATCTGATTTAACATATTGTAGAAATAAGTATCTGCACCCATATGTATTTTCTAGTGTTTTGGCAGGTTGGCTTAAAGGCTGTATCTGTAATTCTTGATCCAGACATTACTCTGACCTCTTAGGGATGCCATTCTTGGAATTCATGTCATCTTCCTTCTCTTTTCTCTAGCTGGGAGATAGACCTTTTTTTTTTTGTCAGTACACAGCTTACGTTTTGTTTTGTTTTTTTAAGTGATAGAGTTTATTCTTTGTTTATTTCAATTAATTTCAAGTTCATTGTAGAAAATAGGAAGAACACACAGAAGGTATAAGAGAAATTTAATCTTAAACTCACTGTACAATTTGTTCTATTTTCTCCTATTTTTTTCTCCTTAAGTTGTTTCTAGTAGAACTTTTGTTTCTACGTTTCAATTCACATTATATTAGGAGCTTACTTTCTGTCATTAATGGTTTTTAGTCTCTTATTTTAATCACTCCATAATAATGCATCATATGGGTTATATTCTTAGACAGTCTCCTATTATTAGACATTATTCACGATCTCATTTTATTATTCATTGTTATAATACTGCACTCAAATTATTGAGCTTAAATTTCTATGTACATTCTATTTCTTCAAAAAAATTTTGTCAAAAAAGTATGAGCATTTTTAAGGCTCTTGATATGTATTCCCAAATTGGTTTCCAGAAAGGTTTTCTCAGTTATACTTTCACAAGCAGTGTAGGAGTGTCTGTTTTACCCTAAGCTCATAAGCACTGGGGGGGGGTGTGTGTGTGTGTTTGTGTGTGTGTGTGTGCGCGCGCGCTCTCTTATTTTAATAGACAAAAGCCTAAACCAAACATACGATACCTTATTGTTTTGTTCTCATTATAATGAGTTATGTATGACTGTAAAGTCTTTATATGATATTTATTGACTGTTTTTGCCCTTTGACTGTTTTCTTCAAGGAATAATTCGCATTTCTTTTCTTATTAATTTCTAAGGACTTTTCATGTAACAAAGTGACATTTGCACATTTTCCTGTTGACTTTTTGCTCTTTTATTTTAATACATTGTTTAACATTTATATTTTTAAATAGAGTAAAATAATAATTTTCCATTATGGTCTATGTTTTCTTTCATTTTTGTTGTGCTTTGAAAGTCCTCCATTTAAAGGATAAATGTGTATCAACTGTTTAAAGTTATTTTATGGTTTCACTTTGGTTTTACACTTAAATTTTAATTCATCTGGGATTTATTTTGGTAAATAAAAATGTAAGAGAAAAAATCTGACCTTAGTTTTTCTCCAAATGATGAATTGTCTACGAGATAATAATTCCTTTTACTACTGATTTTGTAATTCTTCCTTTATGAGATGGTAGGTTGTTCAAGAGCTTGGTTCTAGATCGTTTCTAGTCCATTGAACTGTTATTGTTGGGTATAGTTATGTCGACTCTGACTCATAATTACCCTCTGTTCATTGAACCAGACCATTTTAGATATTGTTTTATACTTTTTTTAAATAACTGGAGTTTGAGAAAAATGTCCCTACTCAATTTTTTTTTTAGATTTCCCCTTTTGTTTCCACGTATTTATTCTCTGAAATTATTATGCCCATATATTAAGAATTTCTTTAGGGAAAACAATGGGTCTTCCACTAAATTAACCATTCCATGCCTTGATTTCCTCATCTGTAAAATGGGAACAAGAATACTTTTGTCCAACTTTTAGGGTCATTACAGGACTCAGATAGCTATAAAAACATTTCAAAAAGGTAATATACAGAAATTCACACCTTTTAGAATCAGAATAGACAGTGATCCTGGGGTATTTGAATTAGGGATTATGTGTAAGGTGGGGTTACTGTTTGTTCTAGAGGCTTTGACGCCAGACTGTATTTTTTCCACAGAGCGCTTCGACCATCACTGTCCCTGGGTAGGGAATTGTGTTGGAAAGAGGAACTATCGCTACTTCTACCTCTTCATCCTTTCTCTCTCCCTCCTCACCATTTATGTGTTCGCCTTCAACATTGTCTACGTGGCCCTCAGTGAGTATACACAGGAGTGTCTGCTAGAGGAGGGAGGTGAGGGTGGGCGTGGGAGCGGCATGTCCTAGTGAATTGATTGGGTTTCCTGGTGGAATTTACCATTGTGACTGCTCCTTTGGACCAGTTAGAATGAGAACTACCAGTTACTCCTGAGCCATAATAATAAGATTCTCACCACTGGGCTAATTGGCAGCACCATGATAGATGGAGAGGAGATTGAGGTTGTTAACAATTACAGCTTGCTCGGCTCCACAGTCAATACTCTTGGCACCAACAGTCGGGAAATCAAAGATGAATCACAATGGAAAAATCTGCTGGCAGAGATCTCTCCAGAGTGCTGAAAAGCAACAATGTTAGTCTAGAGACTAAGGTGTGCCTGATCCAGGCTATAGCCTTTGCAATTACTTGCTATGCATCAGAGAGCTGGACAGTGACTAAGGATGACAGAAGAAGAATTGATGCCTTTGAGTTGTGGTGCTGGAGAAGAGTCTTGAATATACCATGGACTGCCAAGAGAACAAACAAGTCTGTCTTAGGATGAAACCAAGTTTCTCCTTGGAAGCTAGGATTTTGAAGCTCTGCCTCACATACTTTGGGCACATTGCCAGGAAGGAACAATCCTTGGAGAAGGACATCATGCTTGGAAGGGTGGAGGGTCAGTGCAGGAGAGGAAGATCCTGGATTGAGATGGATTGATCTAGTAACTAGGGCAATGAGGGTAGGTGTGTCGAAGTCAGTGAGACTGGGCAGGCTTCAGAACTGTTGTACATAGATAGGGTCACTATGGGTCGCAGGCAACTTTATGGCTCATAACAACAGCAACAACATAATTATAAAATCTTGAGAATAATAATTAAGAATTATTAATAATACTCTAGTGAATGATAATATGATGTTTTATTATATCTATAATATCATAATAATAAACTCTTTGCTCAGAGCAACAAGCCTTCTTTCTGGCCCTGTGGTGGGCACTGGGTTCGCAGTCACTGATCCACTGTACTGAGTGTTTCAGAGCTGATTCCGAAGGTGGGCTGTTGTTCTTAGGTGGCATTGAGTCTGTTCTCACTCATAGTGAGCCGTGTGTACAACACAGTGAAACAGCTGCCTGGTCTGCGCCACCCTCACAGGTGCTCCTGTGCTCGAGCCCTTGTTACAGCCACTGTCTCAGCCCATCACCCATCTCCAGGCTGCCTTGTTTTGCTGACACCAAGCATGCTGTCCCTCTCTGGTGACTGGCCTCTTCTGGCCCAAAGTGAGTTGAAATGAAGTCACACCATCCTTGCTTCTAAGGAGCGTTCTGGCTGTATTTCTTCTAAAACGGATTTCTTGTTGAGTTCCGGTCAGTCATTGGCATTTTTGGTCTTATTAACCAATACCACAATTCAAAGGCATCAGTTCTTCTCTGGTCTTCCTTATTCACTGTTTCATGTCCACATGCATGTGATGTGACTCTCCTATTAAGGAACTTGGATGATGCACCGCGAACTAAAATGTCAGTAGTTTGTAGCTCCCAACTTCTTTGAAGATTGGCATACTTGTCTGAGAAAGAGTTCAGGTTTTGGAAATCCAGTAAGAGGGTTGATATGAGTCTGAATTGGCTTGCCAGCAGTGAATTTTTAATTTTTCTGCTATTTGTTGGAAGGAATACAGAGTCACTGTTTCAAAAAGAATTGGCTGACACAGAATCATTTCAGGAAATAGCATATTGGTTTTCGAAAAACCTAAAACCCAATGATGATGAAGAGAGAAGTTCAAGCTGCTCTTGGTTAAAGGCATTGGATAAAAATAAGTCCCAAGGAATTGATGGAATACCAGTTGATATGTTTGAACAGATACAGCACTAGGCTGTGCTAGGAAATTTGGAAGATGACTGGAAGAGATCCAAATTTGTTCCCATTCCCAGAAAAAGGTAATCCAGCAGGATGTGGACACTCTTGAACAATATCATTTAATTTCATGTATAAGCTAAATCACGCTGTAGATTAATAAAAAACATAGTTAAATAAGACATTGCTAGAGAACTGTCAGAAATCCAAACTGGATTTAGAAGAGGCTGTGGCACCAGGGATGTCTTTACTGATGTCATATGAACCTTGACGGAAAGTTGAATATACCAGAAAGACGTCTCTCTGTGTTTCTTTCACTGTGCAAAGGCATTTGACTGTGAGAGTCACAACCAATTATGGCTAACATTGAGAAGAATGGGAGTCCCAGAACACTTAATTGTGCTCATGAGAAACCTATATATAGACCAAAAGACTGTTGTTTGAGCAGAAGAAGGGAACACTGCATAGTTTAAAATCAAGAAAGGTGTACATCAATGATGTATACTTTCTCCATACTTATTCAGTCTGTATCCTGAACAAAACACATGAGAAGCCAGATTTTATGAAGAAGAGGATGGCATCAGGTTTGGAAGAAGACTCATCAACAACCTGCTTTATGCAGATGATACAACCTTGCTTGCTGAAACGGAAGAGGACTTGACACATTTGCTGCAGAAGATCAAAGACTTCAGCCTTCAATATGAATTGCATCTCAACATCAAGAAAACGATAATCCTCACCACTGGGCCAATAGACAACACTGAAAAGATTGAAGCTTTCATTGCTGTCATCTTACGTGGATCCAGGATCAACACCCTTGAAACCAGCAGCCAAGGAATCAAAAGACATACCCCATGGAGAAAGGACCTCTCCAACATGCTAAAGAGCAAGGATGTCAGCTTAAAGACTAATCCAAGCCACACTCCTCTTCACAGAGTCCAGCTTCTCAGATAATTTGCCCAGCACATAGATTGAACAGGTATATGGAGATAGATCACATCCCTGGTGCACTCCCTTCCCAATTCCAAACCATGCAGTGCTCCCATGCTCCATTTGCACAACATCCTAGCCCAGGTCCAGGTTCCACAGGAACACAATCAAATGCTCTGGGATTCCCATTCTTCTCTATGCCAGCCACAACTTGTTATGACCCACATAGTCAAATGCCTTTGCAAAGTCAATAAAGCACAAATAGACATTCTTCTGGTATTCCTTACTTTCAGCCAGGATCCATCTGACAGCTGCAATGATATCCCTGGTGCCATGGCCTCTTCTAAATCCTGCTTGAACTTCTGGCAGTTCTCTATCTATATACTGTTCCATCTGACATCAGAAATGATGTTGGAGATGGTGAGGATGGGCCTGGCTAGGGCCATGTTCAAAGCTGATGTTCATAAGGATGCCAGGACTCGCAGTCAACTTTATGGCACGTAACTTGTAGGTAGGGGAAGGAGTTATAGCAGAAAAACACCATTCCGTAGCTAGCTCATGGTCTTCTTTGGGAGTTAGAAAAACAAATTGGTGTGTTCACATGCGTGTACACACATGCACACCCACACACCGCCATCTGAGGCATGGGATGTGTAATTAAAAGAATGGCCTTAACTATGAAAACTTCCAAGGAAGATATGGATCTGGAGCTTGATTTTGAGCAAGGGAAAGACCCAGATTGGTCAAGAGGGAGAATTTTGCTTGGATGTTTTTTATTCCTATCATCTATTTATATCCCCATGCATGTCTTTGGGTGGCACAGACAGTTGAAGGCTTGGCTTCTAAAAAAAAAAAAAAGTCCAAATCCACCTTGAGGTATCTTAGTAGACAGAAGGCCTGGTTATCTACTTCTGAGATGTATATAGTATATGTATGTATATATGTATACTTAGTATTCGTATATTATACATAGTCTAGGGGCTAGGGGTGATGTGTGCTTTCTGCCTGACTCTCAGATCCAGTGCCTGATGGTGCATTGGCAAGCAGTGTGAACTCTTTAGTCCTGAGCTGGCCAGCTTGGAGGCCAGTGTCCCTTAACTGAGTGAGAGCTCATCTTCTGCTGTTGTGTCAGAAGGGACAAGGAGGGGAGGAAATGAGTAGACATCAGCATAGTGCGCATAATTTAATTTTTTTTTCTGAAGTCACTAATCTTTTTCTCTGCTCCTCCCCTTAATCTCACAGAATCTTTGAAAATCGGCTTCCTGGAGACGTTGAAAGAAACTCCTGGAACATATCCTCCCTGGGAATGATGTCCCTGTGAAGTCGTCTTAAATTACTTTTCAGCGTGCTTTCTCCCTGCAGCTCTCCCACCATCCAATTTTTCAGAAATCAGAGTGCCAAGTCTAAAATAAGTCATGGAGTCTTGGTGGTAGCAACTAGATGGAAGATAGCCAGGGCTTGAAGGGAGGCCTGTCCCTCATCCCCTCCTCCGTCGCCTCCCTCCCAGGGCCTGCTGGTCTTGGGCTCAGCCCTGCATCTAGCCGGCTGGGCTTTGCCTCAGCATACCTCTTAAGTCCGTTTGTGGAAGCCCTGCCTTTTCTGTTACTGCTGAGGCTGATGGTATATAGCAGTTGCATTTCTGAAAAGGAGATTCAGATGAGATTTCTGTACATCACTTTCTGGCCTTCTCCATCAATTTCTTAATATATAATGTTTACTTTTTGATGGATTTCCCATTGGCAGCAATGCCCGGTGATGTTTAGCTTTGGCACACACCTAAACTTCTTTCCCAGCAGCTTATGATGAATAAATAGACAAATGCTTAACTACACACGAAAGATGCTGGTACTCTGTGAATAGCACAGACATCTTTCACCTTTCAAAAAGGCTATAACCAGTGGGTTTCAGATTCGTCTCTTGCTCTGTATGGATAGTTGACTGCTTGTGACATTTGATCCAAGAGATAAAAATGGTGTGAGCAGTGTGGGTCGAGGTCTTGACTTCCCAGGTGTGATTCCTTCAGCATTCCTTAGCATGACTCACTGTTCTGGAAGTACTCATTTGCTTCTTCACACTCTGGTCTGTTGTGGGACTGACGGGATTCCATACTTTCCTCGTGGCGCTCAACCAGACAACCAATGAAGACGTGAGTCTGTTTTTCCTTTTCTGTCGCTACATGGTCTTCTTCTCCATGTAGCCTATTTTCTTGTTACCTACTGGAGTTTCCAGGGCCTGGGAGGTCCAGGAAAGTGAAATTCTGACCTGAGGGATTATTGAATCAGAAATGTATATATGAAAATGAAAACAGAATGCTTAGAGTCAAGTGTCTGTAGGGCATTAATGAAAAGAGATTGCAAAGTGCAGTCTCTTTGCGAGTGCAGTGGTCTTCAGCAGTTTATAGGGCCTTTAAGGCTGACTAGGAGCCCTGGATTCGGATCAGGGGCAATTGCACAGAGTAAATCTTTGCCTTTTGATACTTACAAGTAAACCCATGTTCACTGTGGAAAATCAGAGAATGTAGATGAACAAATATTAGAAACTAAGTCCCATTAACTTCATCTCCTAGTGATTGTTGTTAGTGATGGGATTTTATAGCCTTCTGGTGGCTTAGTGGTGAGGAGTTGTACTGCCAAACCAAAGGCACATGGTTCGAATCCACCAGCTGTGCCCCAGGAAAAAGATGGGCAGTCTCATCCTGTGCACCTCTGAAAACCCACTGGAAGGTCAACTATGAGTCGGCTCTGACTCGAAGGTACACAGACTTATCTAGACTAGTTCTCATGTCTATTTATGTATATATTACATATTTTTAAAATAAAAATTACACATCATATAGCTACCTACTTTTTGCATTCATTCAATTGTGAACATTTTTTTTTTAGATGTCTATAGATTGCATTTCTTTTTTTT